TGCACGTCCGCAGAAACGCTTACTATTTTTAAATCGAGACTAAAAACATATCTCTTTGCCGCTGCTTTTAATTGAGATGATCATATTCAAACTACAGTATGCCTTTTTATGTATTGTATACCTGTGGTGTTTATTTTAATTATTTTATTGTCTTTGCTTTGTAATGCCTGTAGTGAAATGACATTATATAATGTGTTTTTACTCTATTTATTCCTAAAAATATTTAAATTTGTTTTGTAAAGCACTTTGAATTGTCGCGTACAGAAAAGTGCTATATAAATAAACTTGCCTTGCCTTGCCTTGCCTTCACCGGGACTACCGACATTCAGTGATTCTAAGATATAGTTGGATCTTTAATACATTAGTCATTACCCACAGAGAGAGAAAAAGGGGTGTCCATATTGTATGTCTAGTTTACATTTCTCAGGCAAAGGTTCAAGTAAAAAGGACCATGAAAGAATCCTTGGCCTAAATTAAAGTAAGCCATGACTTCAAAGAGGTCATAGTATTCTTTTGGGGTCTGCAAAGGTGAAAATCCCACGTCCAGAGGGAGTTTCTGAAAGCATGTAAACATCTCACATTAGAAGCACAAATATGAACCTCAAATTGAGCACAATAAGCCCACTTTAACAAATAAATGAAGCTAGCTAGTTACGTATTCCATGTCTTAAAAGGGTATAAGATTTAAAAAGGGATTTTAAAGACAACCTACACTCATTATACAAGTCTTAAATTCCCTGTTGGCAAAAATAAGACCAGTTAAAGGATCTTACTCATTATGAGTGGAATAAATGGTGTCTTCAAAATATTTTCGTGATCAAGCTCATTGGAATGATTGGGGGATTTTTCTTCATTGCTTTTACTCTTACTGTATCCAGAGCTACTGTATGTATAATTGCATTTTAGCTTGCATTTTCATGTTTTGATTTTCTGCAGTACATGGACATGGAGCTCCACTCTGAGCTTTGATGGTGTGAATCAGGATGAAACCTAGTTTTAAATTCTGTCAATATGTGCAAATTAAAAATATATTACAAAGGCTCCAAATTGGACCCTTGGGTTAATGGTGTCAGGATGCAGGATGTGTCTTGTAAGTGTGCTTTTGCGTTAATAAGGATGAACGACTGACAAGCTTTTAAAAATAACTCCAAAGCGAAAACACATCGTGCTGCCAAGCCTCTTATAGTGTAATATAACTAATTGTGATAAATAAAGGCCTAACAGCTTTAATTAGCTGTCAGTATGGGGTCTGAGGTTGAGAAGCCTCCTCCCACTGCATAGACACAGCTCACTCTTTCCCCACTTCCTGCCCCCCCATCCCAACCCTTTCATTTTAGCCTACTTTCTCTCATTGATACCCTGTATGGGTAAATTGATGGAGGCATTTCAAGGTTGTCTCCATCTTTGATCGTCACACAGTGGACCCCATAGGAAATATCAAATATTAAAGCAACAGCTCTTCTCAGTAGTGCACACTTTGAGGCACCTTATGCATATGTGATGTTCACTATGCACAGCCGTGGTGTTATAGACTTTCCGATCGGTTATCCGTGGGATCTTCTTTCCACTACTTTGAACAGTTTGGTATTTGAGTGCATGAATATTCTCATTGCTAGAAACAGGTTAACAGAGAGTCTAATCCAGGTATGACGAATAATGAGTCATGAAGGGCAGAGAGTTTTCAGATAGTACCTGCCGATCTCACTGAGAGGATGAAGAGATGAGGGGGAAGTAATTAGTCAAATCACTCAGAGTTGTTATTCACCAAATAGTCTGAAAATTCTGTCAGAGAGCGCTTTTGCATGAAAACCTTTAGCAATCAGTTGGGTTAGTCATCTTTGAAGGGATTTAGGAAAGTTCTCCAAGAAACTCTGAGCCATGACGAGGTTGGTTGTTGTCAATAACTTATGAAATCGGATGATGGAACTCCGAAATAGCTCAGAAATCAGAATACTATAACCTCAGTTTACTAGTTTTACTTTAAAGGCTAGTGTGGCTCTCTGAATATGCCTTGTAATATCTTTGTGTGGGTCTCTCATCAATGTGTTATGTGGACCTGAGTATTAAGAAAGCTAAATAGGTAATCATGTTGGTAGGCTGATTTGGAATGAAAACAAAAAGAAAATGTGAATAATATATTTAAAATAGTAAGATGTCAAGCCACAAAATGTTTCCTACTAAAGCCTGTGCATGTTTTCTTCATTTAGTCCAGAGAAACAGGTTCAAGCCGTTTTGTTGATGCGTGATATAGGAAACAAGCAGCAAACCAGAGGATCCTCCTTCTTTTGTAGAGAATAAGCAATCCTACTAGGTGTGTGGGGGGAGGCACTAACTCACGATGAACAATAACATACAAAAGACTCTTGGACACATTGGATAGCTATCAGTTATCAAAAGTCTTTCCACTGTGGTAATGTAGGATGAAGAGACTCTGAAATTGAACTGAAATTAGCCTTCATTCCTCTTCATCTCATTGGAGCTAGGATAAAGAACATCCCGCTATTTGAACACATTGGCCACATGGAAAGTGCCCCATGCTGTTGAAGCGTTTATCTGATCTCTTATCGGTTCAAACTGAGTGATCTGCGTGTGTGAGGGGGCGGTTTGAAAAGAGAGCCGAGAGACAAAACTTTTGTCTCCCTTGAAGTCTATAAATGACATTCACTTGTGTTATTCTGTGCACAAGTTACTCTTCTACAGGGCGTTTTGACAGACACAAAACAGCTTCAGAACCACCTGACCTGACTCTGAATTGGAATGAAGCCCTAAGCAAAAAGAAGAAGATCTGGCTTACAGAGATGTATACACACGGCTTAATGTAATCAAAACGTAATTAAAAAAGCCTC